AACAAGTACAAGTACAAGATTCAGTATAACGTAAAAATGGAGTCGAAACCAATTAAAACTTAGTGATTTTTAAAATTTTACATGTCTGACCTCAGCAAATTTTTATTACAAGCGACACCACTTTGTAAATACTGTCTATGGGTTTCATTATCCTCACTCGGTTACTAGACATTGGCAAGCGGTTAAGTACGAAATGAGGAATTCTATCAAAATTTGCCAGTTCCATTTGTAAACTGGATAGTTTTGGGCCTCTTTACTGGCCAGGTCACTTACCACAGACGCCTCCTAAGCGCTTGTCACATTAAAATCACTTTGCTCGAGCCGAGGGAGGATAGGACGTTGGGTTCGAGCAATGGACTGTTATTTAAAGTTGAACTTTCTGCGAAAACTATCTGCCAAGCAAACTCTTATTACTTAAAATAACTAATTAGTCACAAAGAAAAACCGCTGGACCGTTTAAGTCCGACCATTCGAAAGCTTTCCGCCAATATCAGCGATTATTTGACTCCGTACCGCTGTTCCCTTATTACGTTTTGCGTTTACGTTTTGAAATAACTGAAATTGCCAGGGTAGGCAATTACGAATGAAAAAACCCAGACGGCAGCTATAAATCAATCAGTGCGTTGATTGTTCATTTTTTGGGTGGCTAATCCCCGTCTTAAAGCACAAGTAATATTATTAACCTGGAGGGGAAACCTAAACTATGACCAGGTCCTGACAACCAGAAGTTATCGTTCCGTGCCTCATTCCATTGACGGAACAATATTGTATGCAAGTTACCGGTTTAAATGTCTTCATATATTATTTCAGTAGTGTCTTTGCCTTTAGAATGGGTCCGAAAAAGAAGGGTGGACGGAAACCCGCCTCAGTTGCTGCTCAGTCTGCACAGTTGAAAGACCTTACCCTGGAAACACCAGAAATCCAGGAACCTAAAGACTTGAAAGAAGAGGTTGCCGGCGACGCAGCACCCAGTACAAACAGTAAGTGCTTGCTTTCTTTCCCTGAAGGGGATGCAATTACGTGTTCCTAGTGGTAGAAAGCTTTCCGTCCTACGCGCGATCGCAGCTTTGCCAAACGTTTTCTCCTATGTAAGGACCTAATGACGTCAGAGGAAGAAGCTTCACCGGGAGAGGTTTATTTTGCATCTAACGCTTCGGGTAGTTGTCTCGTCTACCCATCTTCAGAG